CAAAGAGGACCGATGGCCTTGTGCGGCGACATCTGGACCCCCTGGGTTGGGATCTCCCTGGCAGAATGTCTGGTGCTCAGTTTGAGCCCCCTGGGAGAGCCAGGTCCCCCACCCCAACTTCCTCCAAGGTCCCTGCACGAGCCTCCTTATGCTTGGAGGAGAAATCTTTTTAAAAATCCATCTCAGTCACAGAGACCTCACTGAGCTTGTGTGCAAGGGCAAGCACTCTCATACACACTCATGGAATTGTCGAGCGGCATTAGGGCTCCCACCATATCCCCTTCCTCGGTCCCACATGGAGTGCTTCGAGGGGTGATTGACCAGGCTGCAGCTTTCCTGCTTCTTCCCCATGACCCCATCCTGTGCGCCTGTGTGTGCGTGCGTTCACGCGTGTGCGTGTGTGTGCGCACATGTGTGAGAGGGAGAGAGAGCTTTTTCCAAAGCAGAATTTTCCTGAAGAACAGAGGCTTGGCCCCGTTTCTCTTCGTCAGACTTTAGGGGCTGCTCACATCTGTCTGCCCTGGACATGGTCTATTTTCTGCCCTCTTGAGAGCACCAGTCTATTTTCGCCTCAGCAGACCCGAGCTGGGATTCCAGAGATGCCTGCCTCCTTTTCAGATTGGGGCGGTCCAATGTCTCTGTATCACCGGACGCCACCATCTGCGGCTGCCCTCCCCCCAATTTTGGCAGCCGGTTCCACGAGGATATAGCTGGGCAGGCTCCTCCCGCCTGGGGGAGCAGGGCTGTCTCCAGACCAGCCCATGAAGAGAAGGGACAAGAAAGAGAGACACACACAAAGTGTCTGGAACCTAAGGCAGGCAGGGTCCTTCCACCCCACCGAGACTGGTAGCAGTGACAGACAAAGATGCTCAGTCCCTCCCTCGGCTGTGTAAACAGATGCTGGCCGCCAGCCGAGACGCACCTCAAAGGGGAGAGTTTTCAGGAACATGTCTTTGGACCACATCAGTATCACCACCTCCCAAAGATCTCAGCTGTCCTCTGACTGCACGAATCAACAGCTGTGATTCCTGTCCTGAGACATACACAAAGGGACCACCACGGGGAGGGGCCTCCAGCACAAAGAGCAGGCAACCTCGAGCCCCCTTTGGGAGAAGAAGGTGGACCTGGAACAGGCAGGATTATGGGGCCTCTTCATGGGCCGAAGGCTGAACCCGAGGACGGAAGGAACACGGGGTCAGAGTTCACACCAACATCAGGAGGGCTTTCCTGCTCCTGGGATGCTAGCAACGCTAGGCTCCCTAGGAAGCTGTCCCACGAGTATGTGCGTGTCCTGAATGAAGGCGCTTCCGGACCAAGCAGAATCCCCATCATCCTCCCCTGCAGGCGGGAGGGTCCTGCGCGCTCTATGAGATCACTGGGCTCTAGCCAGCAGTTTCTCCAAAACAGGAGAGGTGAGGGAGGGGCTGCAAAGACCTCACTCCCAGAGGCCGGCAAGCGGCAGGAAGGGAGCCGGGTGGGGAAATTCGAATCGCAGCCAAGCCAAAAAGCCTTTGCCAGGGATTAAAACGCAGTATTTGGAGCCGAAATTCTGAAAACAATCAATTAGCCACCTGCTTAAGCATTAGCTTGACTCTCTCACCCCACTGAACAAGGCAGCCTGGCTGGCAGACTCAGACGCAGGAGAAACAAGCCAGCCACGTGGCCAGGCCACTCACTCCTTGTGTCGAGGCTCCAGCTGCGAAAAGGAGCCGCAGCACGCGCACGCGAGATCTGCCGGCTCCAAGCTCTCTCCTGCGCTTAGGGACAGCTGCCCAGAAGGAGGCCCCGGGGAGCGCTGCTTCAGATGGAAAAATCCGGCCTGGCGTTTTTGTGACCATGCAGGAGTCCCGAAGGCAGATGGCCCCCTCACACCAGGTTGACGGGCACCCGGAAGGAGGGTCGCACTTGAGTCTTCTCCTGAGGAAAGGGGTCGGTGAGAGATGTCCCAGAGGTAGGGTAGGCCCCCAATTTCTCCAAGACATTTCTGTTCACGCGGCTTCTTTTAATTCATCAAGTTACGGAGGATCCTTGAACTTCACAGTTAAATCTCTCTGATCAGTCCTCCGCCAGGAACCTAACAAAGCGTTTTCAGGAAAAGCATTCACGTCCCCCTACTCATGGTGAAATAAGCTACAAATCCATGGGTCAGATCCAGAAAGTGCCCTCAGGGTATGCCGTCCACACTTGCCCAGGCCCAGGCTCAGATTTACTTGACTTTCCTCACCTGCCGGGGGCCATGAAGGGCTGACTCAGGCCCAAGGAATGCCCATACTTCTGACTGCGACAACCCCAGAAAGCATACAACTGCACAGACTCTCATCGACAGGAAGAGCCCTTCCCACCCCTGACCCTGGGAGGCACCAGGGACATGGGCAGGCCTTCAGGCTTCGATCTGGAGCATTCCTGAGTCCTGGCGCACATGGGGAAGGAAGGAAGAGGCAGGAGAGCAGGCTTCTAGTTTTAATTCTGCTATGATGATAATCAATAACCATAACAATGACTGTGCCAGGCACTGTGTTACAGGTACAAGCGAGCTCATCGTATGGACTCTCACAGCAGCCCTGGGGGCGCGGGGTGCTATTAGGACTCCCATTTTACAGATGAGGAAATGGAGGCCCAAGGGAAGTCACTTAACACAGCCGCGCACCAACGGTATCCCTGCCAGGACTTGAAAAAATGACTCAACGAGTGCAGAAACCGGGTTGGCCCAGGCTAACGTTCCGCCCCCAGGGGACACTGGGCCTAGCTTTTCACTCGGTTCTGTGAGAGCTTGAATTAGCATGATGACAAGGCCTTAGGAAGCCAGAGGCTCGAGTGGCACGCTGATGAGGTCCCCGACTTATTCCAAGGCATTACGAGTAAAGCGATCCCCCTCAGACGCTAACAGCTGAAAGAATTTTGCTCACTCACTGAAACTGAGAGCAAAGTGACTCCAAGCACAAATCCAAGGTCTGTTCTCGGCTGGCAGCAACAGGTGTAGAAATGCATGCCAGGAAACCAAGAGAGATCTCCACTCAGGGGCCCAGTGACACCTGTGCACACGGACAGCGGCTGAGAACCCCTGCCCGTCTCCACCTGACCCTCACACCTCCTTTGCGGCTGCCCATGCCCCAAATCCCAACAGCCAAGGATCACCTGGCCTGCGAAGGGTGGAGGGCAGCAGAAATGCCCCTGCCCCTGCTCCCGGCCAGGCCCTGGGGCGCCACAATCGCTAAGTGCAGCAGTGACAGGCTCGTGAGGGGGTAAGAAGGACCTACGAAGGTAATGCACACAGAAGGAGGCCAGTGACACACCCGTTTTGTCACCTGCAGGCTGGCACAGTGCCCGGCACACAGCAGGCACTCAGGGACACGAGGACAGACCCCCAGAAGACGCCGAGAAAGCAAGGAAGGAGCGGAAAAGCCAGAGAAGTCGGGTGAGAAGAAGCCCCTCCCCAGGAGCAGCAGCGTGGAGCTGAGCGAGACCCCCAGGGGAGGTGAGGGGCCGGCAGAGAAGGCAGAGGAGGAGGAGGAGGGACCAGGGCACAGAGGGCTGGCTCAGCCTCATGAGAGGAGGGGGCCACCACTGCCACAGATCAGGATGCATGCAGCGGTCAGGAGGGGAGGGGGCGGCAGGGGCACCACAGCCCACGGCTCAGAGTGCGCCAACCCTGGGCTTTAGAACCAAGAGTGAGTTGAGGAAGGGAGCTTGTGATGGGCAGCCCCCCCCCTTCACGGTCACGGTGAGATCGCTGGTGGCACGAGGGCAGCAGCCCAGTCCTGAGATGGCTCCCAGACCAGAAATCGAGGCCGAGCCAGGCAGGATCCCGCCGCGGTCAGAGCCACGATGTCGGCAGCAGGGGGGACGACGTCCCTCCGCCAGAGGAGATCACAAGCTGCCCGGTAGCCTAGTCTAGACAGAAGGTCTGCAGCTCCACACACAGTGGCGCCCCATCGCTGCCTCTAAAGCTTACCCTGCACTAAGACTTCTGGGACAGAACCCCATACCCCATTTGACCAGACCAAGAAACAGACTAAGAAGGCAAGTGACTGCACCTAGGTCACCGAGGTCCTCACAAACCACACCCTGGACTCTAGCCCCCAGGCCACACTCCCTCCTCATTCCAATGCCCACTACAGCCAGGCCTCCTAGACAGCTCCTCCCCTCCTACAACTCTGACCCCAAGGACCCTCCCCAGTAACACAGCTGGACGCTGGGTGGGCCTCCTCCTCCTCCGTCCGCCCTTCATCCGTCTGTTCGCTCTCGCCCTGCTGAGGCCGCACTGACAGCATGCTCCCAGTAGTCACCCCGTGGAATGGCCAAGGTCCTCCTCCTGGAAGGGCTGGCCCTCCCTGCCTGGCCACAGCCTTCAAAGCCTGCACTCGAGGACTGGGCTCCAGAGGGCTCCCCCTGAAGGGCCACACACAGACCCCTCAGGGAAGTGGATGGAGAACGCTAGGCACCCTGACGTGCCCCACCCCTTCTAGAAGGTCCTCAGGCCTCCCCAGCCTCGAGCCAGGCCTACGTGTCCCTGCCCCTTTCTGGGCCTTGGTCCACAAAGAGAAGCAAAGGTACCGTGTGGACACCCCCGTCGCCCCTACCAGACAACGAGCTACATGAGGGCCAGCGCCCTCCAGTCAAATTTCTCTTGGGGACCTTCCGTGCCCAGTCCAGGACACCCTGCAGGCAGGAGGGAGGCATTTAATCAATGCTTCTCACAGAAGCAAACTGCTTCTCTTACGTTCATTTAAAAGTAAAGTGGAAAGAAACCATCCATTCAAGAAAACAGCACGTGAATGCCTCTGCCTTCTCCCTGTGCTCCCCACGTCCATCCCACCACCTAAGGTCTGCGACCCTCCATTTCTATCTCTCCATTCACTTTTCTGGCTAAGGTGGAGACGTCTGCACGGCTTCATCTGTCTGACGGGGATCAGACTTCCTGCCTCTTCCACGGGTGGAAAATGCCTTTCTAGACACAGAAGGGGGAAAGGTTCAGCGCCCTGTTTCCCGAGGCGCCTTACCGATGTCAGCAGCGAGGGAATTGGGGTCAGACGCGCCGAGCGTGGCTTCAAACTCCTCCTGCAGGCGGTAGGCTCTCTGCAGCAGACATTCCAACTTGTGGATGAACTCGGCGCTGATGATGTCCTGCCACGAGAGCAAAAGGACAGGGGCTGAGGAAGCACCGAGGACAGCGAGGACAAAGCCACTCCCGTGGCAGAACTGTGGGACGCAGGCGGCAGCAGGGGCGGGGGGGGGGGGGCACCGTGCGGGCTTAGCCTGGCACCCGTGGGTAGATTTCAGGGGGTCTATCTGTCTTTCAATTTAACTGGGTTCTTTCGGATCCTGTGTCTTTCACGCTATGCATTTCAAAACGTGATCTGGAGGCACGTGTAGGCCTCCCCAGACTGCCCACCCAAGGGATCTGCGACATCTCCAGGCTCTTCAATTTGGGGGCTCCTCAGAAAGCCCCCCACTGTGCCTCTGGGACCCTCCACGGGCAGGGAAGCTTGCTGCCCCAGGACAGAGGGGGCACCTCCTAAACCAGGGTGGGCGGGCTTTTTCTATTCTGTCTTTGGTGCTCAGCCCCTAAACACGTTTCAGAAATGCCTGTTCACTCATTCATTCCAAACAGAAGGATGGGAGCCAAAGCATCTTTTTAAAAACTTCTAAAAACGAACCCTGCTTTTCCCAATGGACTATGCTTCCTAACAGGTCAAGAAACATGAAGTTTCTATGCAGATCTGGGATCTGGGAGCTAATTCAGGACTTGCTCCAATGCAGGTTTAACAGGAGCACAGCCTGGCAGGTCCTGGGAATCAAGTGGTACTGAGCCAAGCGTGTCAGGCAAAGTCCTGCTCTGCCCAGGCACGAGGACCGGTTTCTACTTTTAATCCAGAGGTGGTGGGACGCAGCCAAGGGGGTGGAGTTGCAAACATGCGCCCTGCCCCTCACGGCCCAGCTGGCCTGCAAACACCGCCCTCACACTGGGCTCCTCTAGTCTGTGCGGCCTAAGAGAGAGGGCATGGCATCTGAGCCGAGTAGGGGCCCTGGACCCATCAGCGAACGGTCTGTAAAACAGAAATAGTGCCTCCAGAACTTCATCCAGGACTGGCCTGAGCATCAGGAGAGAAGATGCACCAAAGGCCCTCTCCTTTGTGTCTACTTTTGTGTCTCTTTTTTTGGGGGGGGGGGGGGAATCGAGGTGAAGTGACTTGCCCAGGGTCATACCGCTAGTAAGTGTCTGAGGTCAGATTTGAACTCGGGTCCTCCTGACTGTGCACTGTGGCAAACCCCAGCTGCCCCCACCACTGTTATTCTCAACACTCCAACATCATTTGACTGGGCAGCTTCCATTCTAAAACCAAAACTGAAAAATTTCATTACCCCTCTCCCCCGCCCTCAGGCCACGTGGAACTCCTCTGGGCTAGTCTGGTGCCAGGGAGGAGCCCTAGGCCTTCCCATCCAGAGCCTGGAGCGCCAGCCTAAGCGTCTCCTAGGCAGGGCCTGCCGCCAACCTTCCATTAGACGCACATGCCTCTCACGCCTCTCACCTCCACGCTCTCTTCAGCAATGGCGTCGCCCGCACCCAGCTTGATGGCGCCGCAATTGGCTTCATCTTCGGCCTGTCTGCTGCGGAAGGTAAGCGCCTGCTCCCAGCGACGCAAGGCCTCTTCAAACAGCTCCATACCTGCGCAGGCAAGGAGGGAGTTTACACCATGAAAGTTTTCCAGTGAAGTCATCAGTTAACACGACTGTGGCTCTAAAGAATAATTTCATGTTCCAACGGTGTATGAAAACTTTCATTTCTCCTCTCTGGGGTTTCCACAGGAACCCGGCCCAAAGTCAGGGGCAAGGCGCTTCACATGTCTAAGGGTCACGCTTTCTTAAAGAAGAAGGTAAACTTCCTATATAGAAATGACCATGTTTGAGTTTACCTGCCAGATCTATGGATAAGGGAAGAATTTAGGACCAAACAAGATATAGAAAGCATTAAGAAATGTAAAATAGAGAACTAATAGATAATATATAAAATTAAACATTTTGCACAAACAAAACCAATGCAACCAAAATTAGAAGGAAAGCAGAAAATAAGGGAAAAAAAATTTGCAGTAAGTATCTCTGATAAAGGTCTCAATTCTCAAATATATAAAGAACTAAGTCAAATGTATAAGAATACAAGTCATTCCCCAAGTGATAAATAATCAAAAGATATGAATGGGCAGTTTTCAGATGAAGAAATCAAATCTATCTACAGTGACACCAAAAATGTTCTAAATCACTATTGATTAGAGAAATGCAAATTAAAACAGCTCTAAGGTACCACCTCACACCTATAAGACTAGCTAATATGACAGAAGAAGAAAATGACAAATATTGGGAAGGATGTGGGAAAATTGAGGCACTAATGAATCACTGGCGGAGTTGTGAACTGATCCGACCATTCTGGAGAACATTTTGGAACTACGCCCAAAGAGCTATAAAGTTGTGCATATTCTTCAATCTGGCAATACCATTCGAGGTTTATGTCCCAAACAGATTTAAAAAGGGGGTGGGGGAGGGGAGATAAAAGATCTACTTGCACAAAAATATTTATAGCAGTTTTTTTTATGGTAGCAAAGAACTGGAAATTGAGGGGATGCCCATCAACTGGAGAATGGCTAAACAAGTTGTGGTACATGATTGTGACAGAATATTACTGTGTTATGAGAAATGACAAGCAGAATGATTTCAGAAAAACCTGGAAAGACTTAGATGAACTGATGCAAAGTAAAGCAAACAGAATCAGGAGAACATTATACGCAGTAATAGCAACATTGTGCCATGAAGAACCATGAATGACTTAGCTCTTCTCAGCAACACAACAACCCATGACAATCCCAAAGGACAATGATGAAGCATGCTATCCGCCTCCAGAGAAAGAACCGATATTGTCTGAACAGACTGAAGCACACTATTTTTCTCTTTTCTATCTTTCCTTCTTTCTTCGAGTCTTCTTGTATAAAATGAACAATGTGGAAATGTTTTGCATGATGTAACCTATATGAGATTGCTAACTGTCTCAGGGAGGAGAGAAGAGAGGCAGGGAAAGAGGGATAGAATTTGGAACTCAAAACTTTTTGTTTCCTAAGTGTTAAAAATTGTTTTAACACATAATTGGGGGGGAAATAATTTTAAAAAAAGAAACTTACAATGTTTGGAAAGTTCACTGAAGTTCTTAGAAGCTCAATCATGATTAGGTTTGCTAAATGACATCTCCAAATGCCCCAAAACAGACAAAGGGGCTGGGCTGAGAAAAGAGAAGGGCTAAGATGAGATGATAAAGCTGGTGGCCACAAAAAGCCTCCCTCTCCCTTCCTTGCGGCTTTGACCATCTGGTGACAGCCAGGTCTGGTGCCTCTCCCAGGGCCACGGAAGGGTCTCACTCACCCCAATCTACAAGGAGAGAAGCAGAGATGCTTTTGAAAAGTTTTAGATAAAGAGAGAAATAATTTGGAAAGCCTTCAGAACCCTGGGAGAGGGGATGAACTGAAAATGGACACAGAGCAGTCAAGGCCAAAGTATGAATGGCCTGTGAAAGAAAGGCACAACCAGTCTGGAATGGTCTGGAGCGGTCCCGTGGCAGGGATGGGGCCTCAGGGCACAGCCCCTCGGGCAGGCTGGACCATGTGGGTAAGGGTTCAGGTCCAGCCTGGCTCCACCCACAGCCTGCCTCACTAAGCAAGAGGCTCATGTCCAGGAGACCAGGCACAGCGCCCAATGGCGTGACCATGGAAAGGTGGGCAGAGAATAAAGAACCAGACAGCTTCCAACGGTCTAGAAACGTTCATTCTCGTCCTCAATGACCAACAAGCAGACCAACCAATGGAGACAGAAAATCCCAGTGAATATTTCTGCAGTAACTATGTCCGCAGACATCAGGGAGTTGTGGCTAAGCACAAAGATGTCTCTGTATCCTCAGTGCTCAGCACAGTGCCTGGCACATCACAGGTACTTAATAAGCATTTACTGACTGACTGGGGCAGCTAAGGGGCACCAGAGTGCACAGAACACCACGTCTAGAGTCAGGAAGACCTGAGTTCAAATCTGACCTCACTTACTAGCTGTGTGACCCAGGGTGAGTCACTTCATCCTGTCTGCCTTGGTTTCCTCATCTGTAAAATGAGCTGGAGAAGGAAATGATGAACCACTCTAGTATCCTTGCCAAGAAAACCCCAAATGGGGCCACGAAGAGTTGGACACGACCAAAACAACTAAACAACAACAAAATCATAGGTCAATAATAACTAACGTTTATGTCGCACTCACTGTGTGCCAGGAGCACCTACTGTGTGCTGAGCACTTACAATTACTATCTCATCAGACCCTCCAACAATCCTGGGAGGGAGGTGCTATCATTACCCCCATTTTGCAGATGGGAAAACAGAGGCAGGCAGAGGTGAAGTGACTTGCACCAGCTGGATTAGAGCTCTGGTGGCCTGGCTCTCTGGCCACTGTGGCACTAGCTGCTTCAGCTGGTTTGTTTTGGTTTTTTCCTTTGTTAGGAGGAAAGGCTCTGGGAAGGAGTGGGAGGTTAGAGACCATCCAGAAACATCTGAGATGCAGGCCAGAGCCTTCAAGGCCCTCCTCCGATGATGTGGTGCCATGCCTTGAGGCTCCTGCTCCAAGATTCTTGATCACAGAAGAGGGAGGGCTTCCAGTGCACCTGCTCACATGTGACACGGCCACAAATCCACGAAACCCCAGGACACCACAGGGCCTCCTGCCCGATGAGCCCAGCTATGTTCTGAGCAATGAAGAAGCTGGTCCCAGAGCTGAAGAGAGACGCGTCAGAAAGTGGAGGAGAAGGGAGAAGGAAGGAGCCCAGCTATTCAACGGGGGAGCAGGGGTCCAGAACACCTCCCCTTCCTCCAAGACAACACCACAGACCAAATCTTAGCGGGAAATCCCAACCACAACACGGCATCTGGCAGCCTGGCGGAGCAGCGGCACAAAAGGCAGACCCCTCCAGGGCACCCAGACCCTGAGCAGAGTGCAAGGACGGGTGCCGAGCGGCCACTTGCTTCTGGGTCCCAGGCACGAGGCCACCAGGGCAATGACCACAGAGGCAAGCTCAAACCAAAGAGAGGCCCGCAGCTCCGTCTTCTGAAGCTGCAGAGATTCCCAGCTCTCCAACAGGGGGATGAGCTCACAGGGCTGGGGCCCTGACCAGGACGCCAGTGAGCTCCCAGATCACCCCACTGTGGAAGCACTGAAAGATGGCAGGAGCCCTGAGATCCTGGAGGACGCTGCCCCCAGAAGCGTGCAGAAGCACCCGAGCACGGGGACAAAAACCAAGCGGCTGGAAGAAGCCCATCCTAGAGAGCTATTAGGGTGATAAGGACGCCCTAGACACCAGGCCAAAAGACAGAAGGGCTCCAAAAGGTCTTGGGTGAAGCTGGAAGAGATGAGGTGAGAGCTAAGCTGGAGGAAACCACAAGAAAGATCTGAAGAGAGAAGCAACAGCTTAGAACAGGAGGTGCGCAACGCCACCCCACCTGCCGCCCCAGAAAAGAAAATGACAACTGACCAAACGGAAGCTAACGACTGTGCCAAAACAGGAAAAGTGAGAGCAGAAAACATGGCACACCTCGAGGCACCCCACATACGCACACACGTACATGTGTGCACACATGCACACCCCATTCCACACACATGCCCTCTCCATGATGGCAGAACACCTCCACCTCCACACAATCACAAGTGCCAGCAATGGAGAAAAGCATCTGGGCACAGACAGGCGGCAGCGTGCAGCCAACAAGGACTGGCCCAAAGAAACAGTGCCAAGCTGCTATGAGCGTGGGGAGGCGCGAGCCCGTGATGCAGCAAGGACCAAGGGATATCTCTCAGGGGATGGTGCCAACTGTCAAGAGACCAAGCAGAAAGATGGACGGACGCATGTCAGGGACAAGGAAGCGTGGCGGGGCTCGGGGGAAGAAGGCATGCCGAAGGAATCACGATCTGCTAAGACCTGTTCCGCCATCCTCTCCTCGCAGAACCAACCCCATCCATCTAATTATCTGCTGACTCTTTCTGGCAGCCACTTTCCATTTACCTTGGTCTTCTTAAAGTCATGAGGACAAAAGTCACTGGAAAGGTCACCAGACCCAAGTAAAAGGGAAAACTTCCCTGCTCTTACGTCTGCACCAACACAACCCAACACCAAAACCATTTATAATTCCTCCTCCTGAAAGCTGGGGTCAGCACACCCCAGACATGGTCCTTGGACCCTCTGGGCACAACAGGCTGGCCTCGGCTGGAGAACAGCTAAGCGCACCACAGCCCATGAACATAAGTGACCCACACAATGACAGCAGGGCAAGCCGGGCACTGGGCGATGCCAGAGAGAGGTGTGCGACTCCAACCACCGAGCCAAGATGGTGGAGGAACGAACGCCAAACAGCAAGCAGCACCACGCACAAGACGTGAACCAGCCGGCCCCGCACAAACAGATGTCCCCCAGGCAGACACCGCATGAGGAAGGCCTGCCCTCTGAGAAGGGAACGGAGAGGGACTCTCTTCCCCACAGCCTGTGGCCTCACCCACCGAGGCGGCTGTGGAGAGAAGAGCACGGGTTGGAATCAGCCCTCGAGCACTCACTGGCTGGGTGAGCCTGGGCCCTCGCCCCCAGGCCCAAGGAATGAGGCTCCCGAGAGGCCTCTGAAAGCCCCTGGGGTGTGGGGAGGAAGCAGAACCTGAGGGCTCCGGGGGTTGCTTCGCATGAGTCCAGGACACAGCCAGCACCAAGGGGCAAGGCCCCTTTGGGATGGACCCCATCTTTCAGCTGTCTTCTCCTCAGACCACAGGGAAACACTGGCACAGAGAACAAGGGTCGGACAGCAGCCGCTCTCCTGGGAAAGAAAGGCTTGACGCCTCTCAAGATTTCTCCCACTAAAGAGGCAAGTGCCTCAGGTTGAACGTTGAGCAGCAAAAATAAAGATGAGAAGGGGCAGAACAGGGGTCCTCCTGGGACAACTGGAGAAGATCTGAAGCAAAGTCCCAGGACGAGGTTTGGTCCCCATGAAGAGAAAACACCTGCAGCCCTGGGGTCAGCTGGGTTGGGAGGCTGCCTTTGGGTACAGGAACTTTTACCCCCAGGACAGCCAGGGGAGTTGGCCATCTAAGCCGGGCTGACAAGGAACGCCAGACCCAGCTGTGCTGCGGAGATGTGGCCTGGGGCGAGAAGGACCAGCAAAGGCCTGGTGAGTGTAGAAGCAATGGGGCAGGGATGCCGCTGGCTGGGGGAACTTACAGGAGGTTGGAGGTCTTGGTTTGGGTTCCAGGCCAGAGGGGAGAACAGAAGGAGGATCTGAGGCCAGAGGCACCATCCCTCACATCTCAAGGCTAGACGTGATTACAAAAACTAAGCTACCAAAAATTTCAAAAAGTACAAAGGCGAAGGAGAAAGAATCCAACCACTGAGAGTTCCTATGGGAGTAGAGACCTCTTCTACCCCAAAGAGTAACGTCAAACGGTCACCTGCCCACAAAGGATTCACTTAAGAACTCAAAAGACTTTAAAAATCAAATGAGAGAGACTGAGGAAAAACTAAAAAGAAAAAAAATCCAAGAAAAACAAGAAGATTATGAAAAGAAAGCTAACCAATTAGAAAAGGAGATCCAGGATCTTAAGGAAGAAAACAACTGCTTGAGAATCAGAATTGGGCAAGGGGAAGCCAGCAAAGCCATAAGAGATCAAGAAATAATAAAAGAGAATGTGAAACATCTCATAGGAAAAATGACTAATGTGGAGAACAGATCAAGAAGAGGAAAGATGAGAATAACCTGAAAGCTATGAGCAAAAAGAATCTTGATATGCTAATACAAGAAATAATTAAAGAAAATTGTGTTGAAGCATTGATTAGAACAAGAGGGGAAAGTAGAAATTGAAAAAAAATCCACCCATCATCACCAGAAAGAGATCCTATGAGGAAAACCCACAGGAATATCATAGTCAAATTCCGAAACCCCCAGCTCAAGGATAAAATATTACAAGCAACAAGAAAAAAACAACTTAAATATGGAGGTGGCACAATTAGAATCATACAAGACCTAGCATCAGTGACACTAGAAGACCACAGGTCTTGGAACACTACATATCGAAGAGCAAAAGAACTGGAGTTCAGGCCAAAAATATCATACCCAGCAAAGCTAAGCATAATCCTGAACAGAAGAAAAAAAAAAAAGGACATTTAACGAATTGTCAGACTTTTGGGACTTTGTTTAAAAAAAAACAAACAAACCTGAACTTAATAGGAGATGTGGCATACAAGAGGCAAGAAAAACATAAGGTACATACTAAAGGCTAATTACAAGAGACCCAATAAGGACAGACTGTTTATCTTTTACATATGTAAAATGTATGTCTAAGATTGTTATTAGTAATTGCGTAATTTGTAAGAAAGATTGGGTAGACCTGAGTATGATATGACTTCACAAAGTAAAACCACCCAGGAAAACGTAAAAAGAGTAATTATCTTATACAAATGAGGTGCAAGAGAAAGAACGGACCCAGAGGAATTAGATGGGGGAGGAGGGCTGGTAGTTCTGGAACCCTACTTTCATTGGCAATGGGTTTAAGAGAGAACAATACATATATACCTAGAAGAGTATGAAAGCCTTCTAAATTCTAAAGAAATGAAATGCTAAGGGGATAGGGAGGGGGGAGAGGATAAGGGAGGGAATCTCTAGAGGGGAGGGTGAGGGAACAGGTCAAAGGGGTGTACAAAAAGGTATTCAGATTTATAGGAATGGGAGGATGGGGAAGGATGGGGGGTAGGTTAAGTAACAGAAGGGCAAGGTAGCGGTAGAAGTAAAGTGGAGGAGTCAGGAGGGACAGGAAATAAGAGGTACGCACAAATATAAAACAAAGATCAGCAGTAGAATGTGTGAGGGAAAGTATATGATTCCATATGTATGTGTACATCTACATATGTATTCATGTATGTATATATCTGTAGCTTTACATAAACATATCCATGCTTAATTGCAGCCTTCTGGGGGTGAGAAAGGGGGGAAAAAGAACAAAGGAAAAAGTGCACAGCCGAGAACAAAAGAAAACTTACAAGGAAGAGAAGGAAAGATAAGACAGCTCTCAACACATTGCGTAGTATTTATTAGATAGGCTTTCTTGAAATGGAAATTTATCGCTATCTATTTTGTCCTTAAGTTTCAATATTTAAGTTTATAATATGTTTTTCTCTTTATTGTGTCTTTAAGTTTTAGTGTCTAAGTCTAAAATTTAAAAAATGAAAAGAAAAGATGACAGAGTGTACATGGTATTTTACATGTTTGCTGATTACAACAAATATTAAATTAGATTCCGATCTTTCCAATCCAACAAGTCTAGTGGTGCATTTCTTACCCATCAAGTACAGGTTTTCGGGAGTGGTCACAGGAATATTGACAAGTTTTAAGTCCTCCTCATCCGTTTTGTCCCAGGAATTGGAGTTACCACAAGCACAGCTATGACAAGAATTGGCACTCTGGACCTGCAAGGAAAATGAAGGGGATTTTCAAGTCCTCCTGGTGGCAGGGAATGTCAGCCCTCACAGGGAATTTCTAGACCAACTCTCGCATCCCACTGGGAATTTGCAGTCAACTCCATTGGCAGCAGAAGATGGGCAGAACGTGCTTGATCGCAGGGCCCAGAGCCCTTCCTGGCAGACAGAAGCCAAGACCCTCACGAAAACCAAACAGCAACTATGCTGGCCCCACTGGACTGTGCCAGGGGGCAATGGAGATGGGCTTTGAGATTTGTTGTTAGGGTCTATTCGGGGACAGACAGGGCCTAGGAAAACATACTGTGCATGGGCACAGACAGTAACTGGGTAAAGAAACAAGGGCAGGGTTAGGTTCCTTTGACCTTCGCCCCAGGGTCCCCCAGGCTCCAGCCCACTGGGCCTGCTTCAGGCCAAGATGAGCAAAGCCACTCCTCCTCCCTCCTCTGTGCTCTTCCGAGGCCTCAATCTGGTCCCCACCAAGTCTTGTGGCAGCCGAGATCGGTCAACCTGCCCTGGCATGCCAGATGCCCCCAGAAGGCACCGCAGCCGCAGTGGCCATGGCCACTGTCTCCACTCCACCTTCATCCACCCCACCAAAGGACTGGGCCCAGATCCCTACAGCCCTCTTCTAGCGCCAGCTGGTCAGCTCTGACCCAGGGCCTCTGTTCCCACTGACGGGCCAGTCCCTTCCCTGCCACATGTCCAGTTTTACTCTAGCTCAGCCACCCCCAGGGACAGCCATCCTCCATGACTCTGGACTCCCGTCCTCCTACGCCTGCTTTTCTTTATCCTGAGCCCTGCCACCTCCCTTCACCCTGCTGCAGCCCTGGGTCACGCGCATCCTCTGCCTCGTCACACGACGCACCCCGCGGGGCCGGCCAGGGCCAACACTCTTGGGGCGAGCCTACATCCCTCGCCCCATTGATGAAGCCTTATGGAGTCAACAGAAGAGCAAGGAATAAGCATTTAGGAGCGCCTGCTGTGTGCCAGATGCTGGGCTCTGCCCTTTCGACACATCTCAAGAGAGCCCAGCACCCCCAGCAGGCTAACCACCTGGGGAAGAGTCGGGCCTTGGTCACTCTTTGCAGGATCTGGGGAAATTCATCTTCTCCGCCAAGCACTGTGGTTAGACCAAAGTCAACCCGACCGCGCCACCAAGTGACCCCAGGACCTTGTCATTTTTATTTATGTTGGGGGTGGGGTGAATGGAACAAAATATGGGGGAGAAGAGGACACGAGGCCAGAGAAATCTGGCATTGGAATTAACCCCCAGTGCCTAATGGCCGCATGTCATCTAAGGACCTGCACGAATGAGCTGAGCTCTGGTTTTTCAATCCTGCTCTTCCCGTCAAAGAAAGACTGCTGGCCGAGGAAGGGCCAAGCCTGTGATTCGGGCAGCGGCCCCCTCGGCTGCCTCCTGCTCCCACCTGCAGGCCCAGGGAGCAAGGGAGAAACCACAACAGTGCCGTGAAGGGCCAGGGCCCTGAGGACACACTAGCGCAGACCCACGCTCCAAGGCCACCCTCACGCACCAGACCAAGAGGCCTGCCCAATGCCCCCACATGCAGAGTTTCCTTAAAGTAATGTCCATTTCATTCCTGCTGAATTTCAGGACTGTTCACTGACATGTAGGGGTTAGGCTTAGGGACACCTCCTTTCCTGATTTCAGGGTATTTCACCTGTTCACTGTCCCCCTCCCAACTTGCAAAGTCCCTACTCTTTCCTCCAATGAGAATCAGATTACCTACTTCTGTATCTCGGTTAATTGTTTTCTTTTAATTAATTGGTCTTTTTGATTAATTCTTTTCAATTCATAAAATTCTGTCTCACTCTGTATTTAGGGTCTTTGGACTAACCATTTCCTGTGCCTGTTTTGCTAATAAATTGCATAGCTCGGACTGTTTCCTGTTATTTTCATTTTTCCACCACAGTTTTTGGGGACTCAGACCCCCAGGCTCCTAGTGAGAAAGAAAAGGTCCAAATGAGCCCCTCCTGGCCATTTCCCTTTGAGGAAAAGCATCTACAGACTAGTAGGCACTAATCAAAGCCTCGGGGCCCCTCTCCCACCCACTTCTCCTCCAACTCGGCAATGCTTCTGCATTCCTCCACAGAAAGAGAGTGTGCCCCTAAAAGTTTGTAACCAAAAGGTCCCTCTGAGCCCAAACCTGACAGGCGAAAGCGCGTGGCTCTACTCACCGAGGCTAAGCTCTGGACGGAGCCCGAGTATTTGCTGAAAAGCCCTCCATTGGTGTAGACGCCGGACTGAGACCCTTTGTCTTTAGCCGAACTCAGAGACAGGGTCAGGTTTTGTCGGCTGCTGGAACAGCTAGAACCTAAGAACACACAGCAGAGTCACGTGAGGGCAGGGTTCCAACGTGGAGACAGTGGGCTGAGGAGGGAGGGCGTTCCAGGCAGGGGGCTGGCACAGATCCTTGTGCCCAGCTGGGAGGATGGGAACGAGGCTAGTGTGACTGGCTCCCAGGCGAGGGAAGAGGGAATTGTCGGGGTCAGATGTCTGTCCCCTTTGGGGATATCCCTCTGGCAGCTACATCATTAATGAAGCAGTTCTTAGGGGCCAGGCCTCATGCCAAGTGCTGGGACCATGCACAAGGAAGGCAAAGGACGACCCCTGCTGAGGGAAGTAGGCAAACAGGCCTGCAGCAGGGGTGGCCAGGAGTCTGAAACGTGGGGCGAAGGAGCCCAAGCAGGGGAGGAAGATGCCGGGCTCTGCAAGAATGGCGGAGCCTCCACAAGTAAGGGGGAAGGAAGAATCGAGCAAAAGACAGAAGTCCCCTGCCTCGCGCCATCCGCCTCCAGAGGAAGAATAGCTATCGGCTGAAGACAGACTGAAGCAGGCTGCTTTGTACTTTTTTCTTTAGTTCTTTTCCTCTTATCTGACTCTTCGTGTACAAGATGACTAATACAGAAATGTTTCATGTGACTGTGTGGATTGCTTGTTATCTCAGGGAGGGGGGAAGGATAGAATTTGGAACTCAAAACTTTAAACAAAAAGTTACATGTTGTTTTAACGTGTAATTGTGGGGAAAATGAAATATATGAAATTTTTTTAGATGCCCAAATCATCAGTAATGGGATTTTCTGGAAACTGACAGAATTTGCTACCTGAATAAAGAGGATGATATGTAACTAGACAAGGAAGATAATGCCCAACTTAATGACCATGTGGAAAAACAGCCAGAGACTCAGAGAGCTCGGGCACAGGCAGGCCTGGCCTGGGAGTCCAGCCTTGCCTCGGGCCATCCTGGCTGTCTGGGACCTCTTGGCTTCCTGAGCCACCCAAGGAGATCCCACATGTCTGGCTGTCCCATCTCCTGGCAGTGAGGGGAGGGGCAGCTTCCACGCCGATAATTACCCAAAACATAGGCCCAGCCCCCACCAGAGACAATCCGTGTCTGTGGGGATTTACCATCCAGGCTTATTTCTGGCCTCACTGCCCACGTACCTTTTTCAGACGCTGCTGTTTTAGCACATTCCAGGGCAAGATGCCCAGGTTCCCATGGAAACCCTTTCCTTTTTTTCTTTCCACGTCTTCTTTTAAAGTGATGGGCCAGAAAAAGGACAGATACTGCGCTCACCGCGGTCACTGCAAACAGCTTCTTAACCCCGGGAGAAAATTTGATCTGAAAGTGAAGCAAGTGAGGACTGAGAGGGTGACCAAGGACTCGAAATGCCCCGTGACATCCACATCTCCAGCAAGACCCTCCTGCCCATGATGCCAGAGAGTGCAAGGCCAAAGCAGGGAATGTCCGAGGCCCTCTGAGAAGCAGCGCACTAAGCTGACTGCGGGTCCTGTGCACAAGGCCCCAGGCCCTGTTCCGGAGGGGAACTGGGTTCTGAAGAGCCCCCATGCCTCCAACTCGAACAAGTCAGAGAGATCCAATCTTAAAATGAACAAGTGAATAAACAAATGAAAGAGAGGGAAGGAGGGAGGGAGGAAGAAATGAAGGGAGAGAGGGAAGAAAGAGAAAGGAGGGATGGAAGGACTAGAAGAAAGAAAAGAAGGGAAGAAGGAAGAAAAGAGAGAAAGAAACAAAGAAAGCACCAGCCCATTCAAAAAAATAACAAATTGACTATTTCAAATCTTTTGTTACGAAAGTTCTCCACTCTCAGTAGAAGGGCCTCGTAGCTGTGGGACAAGCACGCACAAGAGCAGAAGGCGGTCATTCAGTGGCCCTCTGCTGACGTGGAGGGAGGGCTCCCCAAGGCCTCTGCTCCACCCCACACGCACAGCACCAAGTCCAAATGGAACAGGGCCACACTACAGAGGTGAGATAATCCAGATGCTCCCTTCTGTGGGTCACTGAATTACAGTTTTAAAGATTATCAGGTTCTGCTCCTTCATTTGACAGAGGAGGAAACTGAGGCAGGCAGAGGTTCAATGACCTGTCTAGGGTCACCCTGTTAGGATGGATCTGAATTCATGTCATCCTGACTTTAGGCCCAGTGTTCTGTCCGCTGCTCCTACACAGCCCAGCTCCCCCTCAAACTTCACCAAACCGGGAGAAAACACAGCAGACTGAACCCTGGGGTGGGAAATTCCAGGAAAAGTCCCAGGGAGTTGTTTTTGCAGCCCCACCTGGCAGAGGGAGACAGACAGGGAGCTCTGTGGGCTCTGGGCTCTGGGGTCTGGCCCAGCCACGCTATGGGCTGTGCACTCCAGCGCAAGAAGAGGCCCACGGGCCAGAACAGGCCCCAGACTCAGCAGAGCACCACGAGAAGAACGTCTGGCATGAGCGGCTGCATCTGTGACCCAGGGCAGGCTGAGGAGGGGACCTGGACCCAGGGACACAGGGCAGGGGATCTAGGAATGAAGCCTCGAGGCCCGCTGGAAGCCTACAGTACAAGAAGCAGAGCCAGGATCCCTGAGCAAAGAAAAGCCACCAACGCAGGCAGATGGGGGCTGAGGCCACCAGCATCTGAGTGACTTGCAGCACTCAGACCAGGGGGTAGCAGCACGACTTTGTCCGGCATCAGATCACTCTGGGAGCACTGAAAGCCGGAACAACAGGAGTAGTGGAGACCTTCCCTGCAGAGACTCACAGAGCTTGGCCCTCACATCAAGTGTGAGGTCAGGAAGAAGGCTGGAAGAATGAGCAAACAACAAACAAAAGTTCCACAAAGCTCTTCTGGTGACAAGGATACTCAAGAAACAAACCCAGAGGAAGAGAAGGACTCCAAAGCGCCTCCAAGCAAAGCCTCAGAGAAGAACACAGACTGGGCACGAATTCAACTAGAATTCCTGGAAGATATGAAGCAAGAGTTTAAAATAGAATGCAAACATGTTAGAAAGCAAAACAAGAACTATGAAAGAAAGAGCTGGGAAGGGAATGAAGAGCTTGGCTCAAGAGACACAAAACTGAGTCCAGGCAACAAACTCCCCAAAACTGCGAGAGGACCCCAGAGAAGCCAATGAATGACTCCATCAGACAATAAGGAAATGTGAAAAAACCATCAAAAGGCTGAGAAGACATTAGAAAACGTGAGGTATCTCACAGCGAAAACAACTGGGCTGGGAAACAGAATCACCAGACCAAAGCAGGGCCAAGAAAACAACAGAGCTGGAAAGAAGAACCACACACCAAAAATTCAAAAGTAAATAACAAAATGAGAACAATCCAGCTGGGCTTGAGTGATGAGCTATGAGAAGACACCTTCGTGGAGGCAGAAGGACCACGCATATTACACGCCTCATGGTTTCTGATTTTTTCTAATATAACAACCAGTTGTGCTGATTATTTTTCCTTTCTAAAAAATATTATTTGTCACCTGGAATGGTTCCTTGGGAGAGAGAGAGTCAGAGATACTTGGGATAACTACGGTGATGTAAGAAACAGAAATATCAATAAAAGCTTTTTATTAAAAAAAACTATCCATCAAAAAAATAACTGGACTATCTGAACACCACGAGCCAAAAAAGAACCTGGATATCCTATTTCAAGAAATCTTCAAAGAAAACTGTCCAGATCTCTTAGAACCAGAGGGTGAAGTGGAAATAGAATCTATCCATCACCTTCTGAAAGAAACCCCCAAATGAAAATTCCCAGGAACATCACAACCAAAACCCAGAGCTTCCAGGTCAAAGAAAAAAATACAACAAGCAGCCAGAAAGAGAGAATTCAAGAACCAAGCAGCCACGGCCATGATCACACAGGATTTGGCAGCCACCACTACCAAGGAGTGAAGAACTGGTAAGAAAGGCAAAGGATATGGGCTTACAACATTACAGGGGGAAAACGGACCTTTAATGAAAGAGAGGACTTCCCAGCATTCCTGGTGAAAAGCCCAAAGAGAACTAGAGAGGAACTCTGAAGTTCAAACATGGAAGTCAAGAGAAACAGAAAACAGAAAAGATGAATGAACAATGAAGGGAGAAACGGCTTACATTCTGACAGAGCCCTGTCTTCACCAGAGTCACAGAAGGAGTCGTCTAACCAGACAAGGCCTAACTGGAAAGAGAGGGGAAGAGGAATACACGGCAAAGGGTGTAAGGGGCGGATGGTCACAGGTCGCCCATTTAGGGAAAATTATCTCACATGATCAGGATGCACAAGTAGAAATCTAGACAAACAAGGAGGAGGGGGTGGGGGGAGCAGCTGATGCCTGAACCCCACTCTCATCTGAACTGGTCAAAGGAGGAAAGAACACACAGAGCTGGGTCCAGGAATACCTTTCACTCGACAGGGAAAACAGCAGGAGAAAGAGAGAAGGGGGAATTAGAGGGAGGGTAAATGAAAGGAAGGATCAGGCACAAGCAAAACAAATTCTAACTAAAGATGTACAAAAATCTCTACAGCTTTTTCTGAGGTGGCAAAGAACTGGAATCTGAGAGGGTGCCCATCACGGCTGAACAAGTCGTGGTACGTGAATGGGACAGAACACTACCGTGCTGTAAGAGAGGCTGAAGGGGAAGGCCCGTGTGAACTGAGGCCAAGTTAAGGCAACAGAACCAGGGGAACAATTTACACAACGACGACAACGTGGCAAAGACAAACAGCTCCAAAGAACAGGAGCTCTGATCCAGCATGGCGACCAACCTGGACTCCAGAGCAATAACGATGCTGCCGCCTCCTTGCAGAGAGGTAAAGAGCCAATCGTGCAGAACAAGGAGGCGCGGTGGGGCGGACCTGGCTAATGGGGAAAGTGCTTCGCTCGACTACATGTAACAGCGGTTCTGTTTTTCTTTCACTCTCAACTGGTGGGGGTTGGGGGACAGGAGGATGGAGAAGACAAGTAGGTTTTTGCTAACTGAAAAAATAAAAAAAAAGTTTAAGGAAATTCACTGCAGCGGGAATGTGCTGACTGCATCAAGTCCTAAACCTGAGGGCCTCCTCAATGAGGTCCACAATCCTTCAAAATGTTCACCTTAACAATCACAGAGAAAAAACCAAGCCGATGCAGAAGACCGCTGTTCAGGGTGACACACACTTGGATGGACGGCCGCTGGCAGACACTGCAGAAGAATGCGGCCAAACAGAGGCAGCAAAAACCAGGCTGGATTGCCTTTGAGAAACTGCAGAGCGCTTCTGGTGCTCCCAAGCTACTTCTCCCTGAAACGAAAGCCCAGAGCCTCTGGCTGATGGGCGGGGAATCTTGGCATCTTCTCAGTGTGCTGCTGACTGTGGCATCTGGCCAATGAGGATGACTGTGGGAAGAAGCACCAAGTACTCATCCAGGAGCTGTGTGCTCACGGAGGAGCTGGGCTGGTCAGGTATTGAGGGTGACCGCCAGCAGAGGCCAGCTCAGGGCTGCACACTCACAACACAGAGCTGCAGAAAGCAGAGAGACAAAGTCTCATTTTGAACAGAATTTTCTATCAGTTTAGAATGATGCTGTTTATCTCTGATGGAAATCATCAGGGCTGCACCTGCTTTCCAGGATCTGGCAGCCAACTGGAAGATCGTAGATGCAGCTTTCCTTTGGAATCCCTTTCAATCCTTCTGAGCTGAGTAGGTTTGCTGAAAACAACCTGGAGGTGATTGTGTTTTTCGTTCAGTAACTTTCTTTTCATTGGAGAGCTTGCATGTAACTGTGAGGCTGGTCTTTTCTCTCCTCTCCAAGGTTCAGAAGAGAATAGCTATTTGTCTTCTTAATATTTCTATGATTAACTCTAAAAACCCCTCCAGACAAAGCTTTTCTATTTTATAAAAATTACAACGTAGGTTTCCTTAACTTGGCCTTGCCCATGATTAAAGAGAAGAGCAGAATTACTCTTTTTCTCTCCCACAACTTTTTTCCTCGCTTTGAAACGCTCTTGGAAATACTTATTGCTGTAGTAACTTCTGCAACAAAGGCAGGGCCCCCACCTCTCACGACTGACTTGTCCATTAAAACCCCCAGCTCATTTTCAGAAAAACTGCTGTCTCTCCACACCTCCTCCATCTCATCCTTGTAAAACTGATTCTTTTGAATGAAACTGTAAGATTTTACACGTATCCCTAGTCTGTGAAATCTTGCTAGATTCCTCCTGATGTTCAAAGCTCCCAAGAGCTTTCTGACCCCTCACTCTGTCTGTAGTGTGTTAGCTCCCATCTTCCCCCGCAGCCCCCAGCTCTGTATCCCCTGCAGGCCAGAAGGCCAAGAACTGCTCCCTGGAAGCCTCCATGAGAGTCTCCCAAGCCGCATCTGCCCACCTCCAGACCTACCATCTTCTCCATAAGAAAAGCACCAGAGACTTAAATCCAAGTGAAATACGTCCCTCAGTCAATAAGCTTTAGTAAGCACCTCCTATGCTTCAGGCACTAGGAGGACAAAAAAAAAAAAAGATGAGAAGAAAAAAACAGTCCCTGTCCTCAAGGAACCTGTATTACATGTGGAAAATCAGCCCACAAACACAGCAGATCCCATGAAGACTCACATTATTTAAATCTGCACTATTTGAGGTTTCAATTATATGCAAAACATGGCAGCTGTTCCAGCCCAACAGAACATGCAATGAAATTTTTTTTTTTGCGAGGCAATTGAGGTTAAGTGACTTGCCCAGGGTCACACAGCTAGTACGTGTCAAGTATCTGGCCTGAGATCGGATTTGAATTCAGGTCCTCCTGACTCCAAGGCCGGTGCCTATCCACTATGCCACCTAGCTGCCCCTTGCAATGAAAATATTTAAAAAGAAGTTTTCATCTGTTTACTAATATAACAGTAAAAGTTAAAAAAGATTATTTTTGACTCAAGTTTATTACAAAGTACTAGAGTATTTATAGAAAGCAAAATTTTAAAAATTAAAGAAAATTGAATATCATACTTAAAGACAAGCCTAAGATGATATGATAAAAATGTAATTATTGTCATTTAAAATAATTGAACAGCAAATTAAAACAATTCTCTGGTACTATCTCATACTTATCCAGTTGGCTAATATGACAGAAAAGGAAAATGATAGATGTTAGAAGGGATGTGTGGAAACTGGGACACTAATGCACTGTTGGTGGAGTTGTGAACTGATCCGGCCATTCTGAAGAGCAATTTGGAACTATGCCCAAAGGGCTATAAAGCTGTGCATACCCTTTGACCTGGACCACTGCTAGGTCTATATCTGAAAGAGATTTAACAAAAAAGGGGAAAGGACCTATTTGTACAAAAATCTTTACAGCAGCTCTTTTTGTGATAGCAAAGAACTGGAAACTGAGGGGATGCCTAGCAATTAGAGAATAGCTGAACAAACTGTGGTATGTGAATGTAATGGAATATTATTGTACTGTAAGAAATGAGCTGGATGGTTTCATAAAAACCTGGAAACACTTATATGACCTGATGCAGAGTAAAGCGAGCAGAACTGGGAGAACACCGCACACAGTAACAGTAATATTGTACAATGATCAACTGTGAATGACTTAACTCCTTTTGACAATACAAAGATCCAAGACAATCCCAAAGGGCTCATGATAAAGCATGCCATCTGACGCCAGAAAAAAGAACTGATATTGTCTGAATACAGACTGAAGCATGCTGTTTTTCACTTTCTTTTTTCTTTGTTCGTTAGAGTTTTCTTGAACAAAATGACTGATGTGGAAATGTTTTACATGACGACACATGGACAACCTATATCAGATTTCTTACCATCTCTGAGAGAGAAGAGGGGAGGGGAGGAGAAAGGGACAGAATTTGGAACTCAAAACTTTAAAAAAAGAAAAAACAATGTTAAAAATTGTTTTTAGGGACAGCTAGGTGGCTCACTGGATACAGCACTGGCCCTGGAGTCAGGAGGACCTGAGTTCAAATCCAGTTTCAGACCAGACACTTGACACTTGCTAGTTGTGTGACCCTGAGCAGGTCACTTAACCCCGATTGCCTGAGCAAAAAAAAAAAAATGTTCTTACATATAATGGGGAAAAATAAACTATTAAGCCTGAACTGTCTTCTCTTTCTCTAACTCTTCCTACCTATGCTAGCAGGTATAGAGGGCTGTGTCCACGTCTTGTTGAATTTGCATGCTGACATTCAGATAAGGAACCCAACCTGGTCGGATGTCCCAGGGCATTCTCAAATGTGACCTCATGATCCAACAGGTGGGTCAAACTAACTCAAAAACCAGTCTTCAAAGACAGCTTCCTCATCTGACAGAACAGATTTGGAGGTGATGCATGGCTGCAGTCAAGCTTGAGGACAAAGGGCCCAGATAGTCCTTCAGACACCTGAAATCCAAGTCCAGTTTTTCCTCTCTTAGAAACATAAGTTCTGGAGGGGTCCCTGGCCCCCAAGGAGCCTGTTCATCTACACTAAGTTTGTCCATCAATGGATCTACCTTCTTCCAGTATTTCCTGCCCATCCTCATCTAAACTGGCCGTCTAGTGGGTCATTTTAACATTACGCCACACATACAACCACCGCTTTCGCCTCTCCATCCCAGCCAGCCCTGCCTACACTAATCTGAGCAGCCTCAGAACAGTCTCAAGTCCCTTCTCTCACATCAAAGTCCTTTTCTCCCTTCCTTTCAGCAAACAAAAGGGGCAGACCCTTCTACGACCAAGGCACATCGGCTCCTCCAGGCCAAGATCGCTTCCATGTTTGTCTTGGTGTCTTCGGGACCTGCCACGGTGCCTGGCCCACCACGGACACTCGATAAATGCTCACTGGTTGACTCACTCAAAATCGATTCAAAATGATGATGGCCGTTGCCCAAAGCTGAAGGAAACAGAGCCCAGGTGCTCCGATGATCAACACAGGGCTCTTGTCATTACCCCACACAAAGCTGGAAGAGGAAGGGAAGGCTGCAGGCGTATCTACCGAGGTCTCCCCCGCTTCTGCTACTCTTCTGGACAAGACTGAGAGAGAGGGAGAGGGGCTGCCTGACAGCCTGATGTGGGCCTGGCCAGAGAGGGGTCTGGGAGGCCATGTGCCCCGTGAGGCTCAGCCTTAGAAATTGGGGCTGCTTGGCTCTTGTCTTCAAGCCCATGGAGAGCTCTTACATGACAAAGGGATTCCTCAACCAGGAACCAAAGAGGTCCTTGGTGAGTAGGTCAGCTCTAAGGACCCCGGGAGCTAGCAGCCTCCCTGGAGGGTGTCAAGCAAAGGCTGAAAAAAAGGAGATGGCGGCCCCTCAGACACAGACTCCTGGGTATGTCCTGGATCTTCAGATGATTTAGCAGGATGTCCCAGAGCCCCCTCAGCCCCAATTCTAGCCCTGTCTCTGTGTAAGACATTCTGCGCCAATCAGGGATTGCTGTGTACTAGGCCTGGTGATAAGCACTTGGGACACCAAGAACAAACCAAAACAGGCCCTTCCTTCCCTGAGGAGCTTTCATGACAATGGGGAAGCCAAGGAAGAGAGATCAGTACATGGGGATAAACTGCATGCAGCCTGAAGGTATCCTTGGAGGATCAGCAGAGCCACAGTGGGATGAGGGGGAGAGGGAGGAGGAGGGGGAGGAAGAGGAGGGGGGGGAGGAGGGGAGGGGGAGGGGGAGAAGAGGCCTCCAGGAGGGAGCTGGGGCTGAGAGGATAACTAACTGATAAGTAACCAGGCTCTTCCAGGCCTCAGTCCTTTCCAGGACAGGTGACCAAAGAACACTACAAGGAAACACAAGCACGTTGAAATCATGATCAGCTGAATAAACATTTTAACAGAAACTCCTAAAACCCTCACCACTGCAGATTCCCTACACATGATGGGACAGGAGGACTTAGCGTTCGGCTTCAGGAGATTTCTCTCCTTACCTGGATCAGGGAATAGTACCAAGACAGCGGGAGGTCAAACACTCTCAGCGCCGTGGTCTTCAAGGAGAATGGCGGCTCTCGGCTCCCAGTTTCTTCTAACATGACTCCTCCCCGTCCAGCCTTCACAAAACGGGAGATCAAAACATGTTAGGCAGAGTCCGACTAGCTTGGGGGAGTCTTTTCCTAGGAAGCCACAGCACCTCCTCGCCCTGAGCCAAACGTTTTTGGGCTCCCCGTCCTACCAGCCGAGGGACCGCCACAGCACCCAACAGAGAGCTCCGGCGGCCAAAAGGTGAACTTTCCTCCAGGCGCTCTTGGCTTGGGGAGCGGGGATACACAGGCAGTGTGGTTCAATGGGAAAAACATTCTACGTGGCTCCCAAACGCATCAGCTGGGTGACCCAAGGCAGGCCACTGGACCTTGGGGCTTTTTGTCAAGTACCTGCCAGGCACCGAGCTAAGCTCTGGAGGAGACAGGGAAGAGCCGACATAGTCCCTGCTGCCATCTCGTCAGGCAGAACCTCAAACGTGTGGGGGAGGCCAAGGCTGGAGGCAGCCCCGGAGGCCAGGCCACAGGAGCAGAGAGCAGGCCGGACCTTCCCATGTCCCCGAGGTCCAGACGATGTGAGAGCGGCTTCTCCAACAGTGAGCTCTGGCAGGCCAGAGAAGTGGCCTGGGCACCCTCCACACTGCTTCCCTGCTGCTCAGAATCCTTACTAATTTCCACATTTAACCACCTACGGCCTGTGACTCGCCCGTGACAGAGGCAGCACCATTGCTTGCTTCTCCCCACAAAGTCAATTTTGGTGATTTTTCTCCAGGGAAAGCTTTAGCAACTAAAATAGGAACCTGATTATAAACCTATTTATTTTCTAATCATGGCAGAAGGACCATTAGTCACCTCCTTCAAGGCTGCCACACTCTTAAAGGAGAGCAGATTACCAATAACCTGGGCACATTGCTTCTCTTAAAGGAAAGTCCCTCCGTGGAGGTCTCCACTCCCCCCTGGAATCACTGGGCATCCTGTGGTCCCGAATGACCAGGGAGATGATCAGGAAGCGCAAAGTGGGACGGGGCCCTCGGGGCTCAGGCCGCTAGAGAAGCCTCTTCTGGCACAGCCTCATGTCCAGTCCCCTGGGTCACCCCCGGGGCCCTCCCAGACTTTCAAGGAAGGAGCTGCCTCTGCCCTGTCCTCGGGGGGGCCTCTGATGCCCCTTCCTGACCTCAGCCTTCCTTCCCCCGACTCACTGACAGACTGGTCACCGGCGGTGCCCCACACACGGACTGACCAGTCCAGCCCCCCGCCCCCCCATACACTGACCAGCCCAGGCCCCACCTCCCCCCCACACTGAGTGACCAGCCCAGGCTCTCCCCTCCCCCATATACTGACCAGTCCAGCCCCCCGCCCCCCCTGTACACTGACCAGTCCAGGCCCCCCCCCCACACTGAATGACCAGCCCAGGCCCCCCTCCCCCCCACACTGAGTGACCAGCCTGGTCCTCCGCCCCCCCCCGTACACTGACC